CCCGCCGTGCTGCGGACCAGTAGTCATGTTATTGCAGCCCCTAACCCACTGACCCTCTTCGGGGTAAAAGTTTTGCGGCCGTTTGGTCTCTCCGGTCCTCGGCCTGCTCCGCGGCCCGCCGCCCTTCAGCTCGTCTCTTTCCACTCCCTCTCTCCCTCCCCTTCTGTTCTTTTCTTCTTTCCTTCTCCAATCAATCGGACGTGCGGGGGCGGCCTGGGGTGTGGCGTGGCGAGGCTGTAGTTTTTAGTGTCCTGAAGTGGTCCGATGCTGCTGCCTCAGCACGACCTCCCCACCTGCTGCCGCCTCCAACCCTTGCCACTTTAGCTACGCCCCGCCCCGCCCCGCCCCGCCCCGCCCGCGTCACGAGGTAAACTTGTGAGCGGGGCCAAAGGCGAGGTCAAAGTTATGATGCTTGGCGGGACTGTCTGGTGGGACATATGAGGACGTACAGTATAGTGCTGGCGCGGCGGGGAGCGCGTCTGGTACAGTCCGGCCCAGGGCCACTTAGTGACACAAGGTCTGGGCCGCGTGCGCACGGTCACGGTGGTGCTCTGTACGCCACAAACACAACAGGGGGACAGGTCGCGTTGAGGAGCACTACACAATTCTCGTTGTTGAACCAGTGGGGACATTTGATTCGCCCCAGCGTTGCCACTGTCTATGTTTCTTCCTGGTGTAGTGTTGCAACAGCGGGGCCGCTGCAAAATGATGTTTGATTTTCAGAGCAGCTTACGAGGCAACATGTTTTATTTACAGCTATTTGTCGTGTATGACCTGGAGGACCAGCACCCAAAGTATTGCAGGGAGACTTTGAATTTATCGCGTTGGATCCCCTCGGATTGGCCGTCCGGATTGGCCTGTCGCGGGTAGCGACCAGTGTTCTGACCCACAGTGCTCCGCCGTGCTCGCCGCCCGCCTGCCAGCGTGCTGCCAGCGCCAGGCGGGCGCTGCCTGACTTGGGGCAGAGATCTATTGTTCACAGTCACTCGACATATGCGGGAAAGTTCAAATGGCAAATTGCCCGCATCGCCGGAGTGCGGAGCCTCTAGTTTCTCTCTCTCTCTCTCTCTCTCTCTCTCTCTCTCTCTCTCTCTCTCTCTCTCTCTCTCT